TACCCCATAAGGTTTATTTTTGTTATTATTATGACTATTGTTGCTGTGATAGTTTGTAGGTTGGGGGGTCTATATGATCATAAAAACTGAGATCAACAAGATGGTCCCCAGACAGAAGCAAAGCACATTATTGTCAAATGTAAAATACCTTTGGACAGCTGTTAACTCTTTACAAACCTCCATAGGTCCTTAATATTCTGCTTTACATGTTCCAGCAAAAGAATTCCAAAAAGAAAAACTCTTAGAAATAATTATTAATTTTACATCCCAACTGCAATTTCCTCTCCTTCCTCTCCTCCCAGTCCCTGCCCTCACCTCACCCTCCTAAGCCACTTCTCCTCCACTTCTATTCATAAAATGGAAGGCCTCCCATGGATATCAACAAAACATGACGTATCACGCTGTAGTAAGACTAAGCACCTCCCCACATATTGAGGCTGGGCAAGGCCACCCAGTAGAAGGAGTAGGGTCTCAAAAGCCAGCAAAAGAATCAGAGACAGCCCCTATGCCCACTATTAGGAGTCCCCAAAGAAGGCCAAGCTGCACAACTGTCTCATATACACAGAGGGTCTAGGTTAATCCCATGCAGGCTCCCTAGTTGTCAGTTTCTGTGAGCTCCTATGAGCCCAGGTTAGTTGATTCTATGGATTTTGTTGTTATGTCCTTGACCCCTGTTGTAGGGCCCACAAGGCTACCCCTCTTCCCAGGGTTCATCTTGAGGGCAGTGTCTGGCCAACGTCTTGTTGCAGCTTCTGACAAAACATCCTGCTTGATCCTGTGCTCCCTCTGCCCCACACTAGTGGTTAGCTGAGGAGTTTTGTTTACTCTTGAGCCTGGTAACTTCCCACCTGCCTGGGGGGATTTCCATTTGTACAGCAGCTAGGTATATAAGGTTTTTTCTAAGCTTGAATGAAGGGCATTCGGCATTCTCTCTTCACGAATGACCCATGTTTCTTGCGTGTTCCTTTAATCGCCAGGCCCTTGCCCAGCTCACTAACGGTATAGTAGCACAAACTGTACCATAGAGAGTAACGCAGGCATTACAGCCTCTGACTCTTACAGTCCTTCCTCCCTCTCTTCAGCAGGATTCCCTGAGCTCAGTCTAATGTTTGGCTGTGGGTCTCTGCATGTTTGCCTCCGTTGCTGGATGAAGCCTATCTGATGACAACTGGGCTAGGCACTCGTCTATGAGTATAGTAGAATATCATTAGGTATCATTGCCTTGACTCTTTTTTCTCCAGTAGTGTTTGGTTCTGTCCCAGGTCTCTGGACCACTCAGTCTCTGGGTCCTGGCACTCCAGGCAGCGTCAGGGGTGGGCTCACTCGCTCACTCTCATGACATAGGTCTCAGTTATTGATTGGCCACTCCCACAATCTCTGTACCATCCTTACCCCAGTACATCCTACAGGCAGGACAGAGTGTAGGTCAAAGGTTATGTGTCTGGGTTGGTGTCCTAATCCCTCTACTGGAAGTGTTGCCTGGTCACAGGAGATGACCAGCTCAGGTTACTTACACACAATTGCTAGGAGTCTTAGCTGGGGTCATCCTCAGATTCCTAGGAATTTCCCTTGCACCAAGTGTCTATTTCATCCTCAAATGCCCCCCCTTCCAGGTGGCTCTTTCAGTTCTCTCCCCGCCCCCATCCTCATTTGCCCTAGTCTGCCCAAGAAATCTCTTCCTATTTCCCCTTCTCAGCGAGAGCTGAGTGACCCTCTTGAACCTTCCTTGTTACCTACCCTCCCTGGGTCTATGGGTTGTACTTTACAGCTAATAACCACTTATGAGTGAATACATACCATGTTTGACTTTCTGGATCTGGGTTACCTCACTCAGGATGTTTTTTTTCTAGTTCCCTTCATTTGCCTGTAAATTTCATGATGTCATTGGAAAAACTTTTTTTATATGCACAGATAAGTTGTACACACACACGATGAAGGAGCCAGGTTGTAAATTTAATTTATGTATTTTCCTGAAAATCCATTTCAAACTTTAAAGGCCCAATAGTTAATTGTGTTTACACAGAAAGAAAGCATTTCTTGTTAAGTACACATAATTCCACAGTACATTAACATAACTTAAACACATTAGTCACTGCAGAATAAAAATGGAAAACTATTTCTAGAAATGAAGGTGATTAAATGTTAAAAAAAATTAAGATGTGGGTATATACCACAAACCCCCAACATGTACACAAAAAGGATTAAATTACTGTGGTAGAATTTTAAGTTATCTAAGAATCACTACCACTACGTTTCTCTGTTCAGCTATCTTCCCTGGAGTTTTACAAGTCTTTCGGGGATACATGATATAAATTATTGCGAAGATCCACACAAGAGAGAATTTTTCCTAATTTGGTTTAAGAAGGTAGCATGTTCCAGACAGAACAGAAAACGCGACAAATATAAGATAAAGAGAATGCTGAAGGGAGTAGAGACATGGTTTAGTGGGGAAAATGCTTGCTTTATAAGGACCTAGTCAGGTCCCCAACACACACATAAAAGTGAGGCATGGTAGCGCATGCCCACTGGTAGGGGCACAGAGATCACCAGCATCGCTAGTCAGTCATTCTAGCTAAAATCGTGAGCCCCAGGTTCAATAAAAGAGATTTTGTTCCAAAGAAAAGGTGGAAAACAACACCAGGTTTTGGCCTTCATGTAGATATGTACATGCATGCACACATATACACCACAAACATATAAATTGTAAGCACTTTCAAAATAGAACAGTGTTACTCTCCCCCTCCATCCTGCCCCCAGCCCTCCTCCCACACCCAGCCTGTCCAACCTGCTCCCTCAAGTTCCCATACCCCACTTCTACCCAGTTTACCTAGGAAATCTCTTCTATTTACCCTTCCCAGGGAAATCCATACATGCCTCTCTGGACGCTCTTTGTTATTGAACCTCTCTGGTGCTGTGGATTGTATTATTGTTATCCTGAATGTTACTCCTAATATCTACTTATTAGTGATTACATACCATGTTTGTCTTTCTGAGTTTTAGGTTACTTCACTCACAATGATTTTTTTCTAGTTCCATCCATTTGCCTGAAAATTTCATGATGTCATTGTTTTGTTTTGTTTTGTTTTTTTATAGCTGAGTAATACTCCGCTATGTAAATGTATCTCATTTTCCTTATCCATTTCTAGATTGAGAGGCATCTAGGTTGTTTACAGGTTCTGACTTTTACAAATAATGCTGCTATGAACATAGCTGAGAAGGTGCTCTTGTGGTATGATTGAGCACCCTTTGCATATATGCCCAAGACTGGGATAGCTGGGTCTTGAGATAGATTGATTCCAATTTTTCTGAGAAACCGACATATTGATTTCCAAAGTGACTGTACAAGTTTGTGCTCCCACCAACAGTGGTGGAATGTTTCCCTTACTCCACATCCTCTTCAGCAAAAGCTGTCATCAGTGTTTTTTGATCTTAGCCATTCTGACAGGTGTTAGATTGTATCTCAGAGTTTTGACCCTTAGCCTCCTGGTTTATACTCTATTTTCTTAACTATTCCCATGTGACCATCAACAGGCTGGCTTTTGTGTGTTTTTTTTTTTTGTGGTTTTTTAACCTCATATTCTCAGGATCCACTTTAATTATTTTGACCTAAAGTAGCTAATTTTTGCTTTCTAACACAAATCTTGGCACTGCCTAATTAAGGGTAATTAATTTGTAGTTCAATAATACATATTTAGGAAAGTCAGTAAAAAGATAACTTGATTGTACCCTGATTCAAAACAAACAGAAAGAAAATTGATCAAATTGTAAGTTTGTTTAATATTAGTAAATGTTCCTTCTTTAAATCCATAAAATTGTCTCAACACTAATATTGCATTAGACACTGTTTCTAAAACCCTGCAGATCCAATGGCATGTACAGTTATGCTTGTGAACTGTCCTCTTCCTTTTGTAACCAGTCAACTGGACTGCTGCATTCAGCAAATGACTTAACCTATGACCTCCAAAGTGAGAAATTGAAAACCTAGGGTCTGTGTATGCTTGCTGCCTTCCATGAAAGAACACAGAACAACAGCCTGCTTGCTCCAATTCTTTTAAAAAAAATAAATCTACCCTACAATGAATATATGTTGCTGTAGACTCTTGGATGTCCGTTTACACTTTGAGAAAGCAAATTAAATTCTGGACGAAAACTCCTTCTGAGGGAGCATGCTGCTACTGCCACCTGGGGGAAGCTCTTTTCTGTTTCATTCCAAACAGCTGATGTTCTCAGGAAGGAGAGATCCCATCCCCATCTTCCTTGTCTTGTCCACACAAAGAAGTTCCAGCTGACTCCAGACTGCCTTCACAGAAGTACTATGCAATAGACTTGTTGGGAGCCGTAAGAGAGCACCAGAATGTAACCAGAATGAGGCTGCTGTGTCTTATATGTGATGGGAAAGAGGTTGGGACAGTATGGACTGTATACTAAGAAGTCTCAGATTTGAGGAAGTCAAATCTGAGTTCTCAATATCAAAACAAACTAATTTTAAAGAAAAATTATTTAATGGTAATGAACACTTAGTTGTACACCTTGAATATGTCATCATATTTAATAATGATTATCTGATCATGAAAATTGCATGACCTCAAAAAGCACAGGAGATTTGAACAGGTTAAGATGATGCATTTCAAGTATGTGGAAATAACCTAGAGAATTTTTTCTTATGGAATTTTTAATTTGTGAATTAAATACTGTTACATAGTCTGTAATTATCATACACATATGTTTGTTGATGTTTTATGAAGTATTGATGTAGCATTTATCAACTGAAAAGGAAAACGTGTAACTTTGGCTGAGAATGTCTCATACTTTTATTCTAGGAACCTTGTTATTTATTAGGAACACACTCAGTCAAAGAGCCTAATTCTAGAAACAGCGTTTTCAGGAAGTATCTACTAAAATTACAGGCCTGTCAGGTAACGTCGGTAGGCTCTGGTTAGAAGACAGCTAATCACTTATAAAGAGGATGTCTGGTAACAGATTAACTAAGCAAAATAATGCAGTATCAGTCGCCTGCTGGTACCACGCAGCCAGGAGACTAAAGTTCATTTCAAAGAATAAACTGTACCAGATCCAAGGAAGTCTGGGAAGACTACGTTTCCAGGACTGGAAAAGGTAAGCGGCACACAGTCAGTTTTAAAACATAGTAGATATGTGATTCGGGACTAGAGAGAAATGAATGGCAACTCAGTGCAGGTGACATAGATGAATGAGCTACATGAACGGAGAGCTACATCAGGGGCATTGGAACCCGTGACTTTTTTTTTTTTTTTTTTTGGCTGTGTGGCTTCTTGAAGGTGTGTGTGATAAGACTGGGAAATACTGGGTGGGGTGAGGGACCTTAGAGAACAAGTAGGCTAACACTTAACACCATATAATAGAATTGTAAATCACAAGCAAAATAATCCCTATTACCTATTAAAGTGTATTTATTTATGATTCAGCAAACTGGGATCATTGACAGTTTGCCAGTTGTTTTTGCTTATCAGTCAATGAAAAAGACCAATGGCCTTAAAAAGCTCTGAGGCTTATTCACTGAAGGAGAACTACAGGGTTTTTTCATGGGAATTCTCTCGCTTCCGCAATGAAACAGAGAGTTTCATCCAAGAGTCCATGCTTTGTAATGGTCAACCACACAGGAAATACTTAATTTCCTAATAGAAGTTACTGGTAGTCCTTGTTTTCATTAGACTGTTTCCTGGTTGTAAAGCAATGTTTCATAAGGAGAAGCAGTAGCCATCTTTTGCAGCATGTATGTTTCCTAGGAGAGCAGGATTCAGGAAGCAGGAAAGAGGAATACCTGCAGTAGGCACTTGTATATTCAGGGACTGGGGAGATGGGCAGGTGCCGACACTATTAAAATGCCGAGCAGGCAATTCTCTTCTGAGAAACACACACTGATGCTCTTAGGATGGATTTACTACATTCGTAAGTATCTCTCTTTCTCCTAATAACTGTGCTTTAAAATTACATTAGAATCACTTTTAATTCTAAGTCTGACTTTTAAACATTAAATTAGATAATATAATGCCGAATGGACCTGGACGTAGTAGCTCATGCCTGTAATTCCTGCTTTCCAGGGAGGTGAATTCAGGTGAATAGCCATAAGTCTGAGATCAGTTAATACTACATAGTGAGTTCCAGGCCAACCTGCCAACCTGAGAGACAGAGTGAGACTCCTGTCTCAAAAGGGGTGGGGGAATGATTGAAAGATGGTTCAGTGGTTAAGAGAACTGGCTGTTCTTCCAGAGGACCGTGGTTTGAGTCCCAGCATCTGTATGGGTAGTTCACAACCATCCTTAATCCAGTTCCACAGGAACCAACATCTTCTGGCCTCTGTAGGCACCAGGCATACATGTGATACTCAAACATATATGCCAGCAAAACATTTATACATATAAAATAAATATTTATATGTGTACATATAAATATATGTATATAAGAATATACATATATGTATACATATAAAATAAATATTTATTTATACATATAAAATTTATTTTATATTTATGCATACATATAAAAATAAATAAAACAAAAAGAAAATTTCAGCTGAAAAAGTCTCTTTTTCCACTGTTGTGTTTCTAGTTCTCTAGCAGGAAATGAATTTTAAATCTTCCCCAGTGGTTCCTGAACTTAGTGATCTCAATCCTGAACTCTCTCTTCCACCACACAGAGGCATCAAAATGTTCTCCCTAAACGAGTTTATCTTCATGGGATTTGGCTTCTTCCCCCTTTTCCTGCAGTTATCCTGTCCTTAGACATTCCTTGCTTCTATTTGATTTTTCTCTATTTCCTCACTATCAGTTATTGCTATTCCAATTTCCACTCTGTCTGTGTGGCTTCTGTAGTGGAGCACATGGACCCGCTTAGGTGACTGCAGAGGAGGAGGAAGTACATCACAGGCAGAACAGGGAGGTCTCCATCCATGGATTCTACTTCTGTAGATGCACTAAATCACAGGCAGAACAGGGAGCTCTCCATCCATGGATGCTGCATTTGGAGATGTACTCAACTACAGGCTGAACATACTCAGATAAAAATATCTGTATTGTTCATATACAGACCCTCTTTTTCTTTGTCATAGTTCCCCTAAGCAATAGTAGGACAGTACCTACTCTGTACTATTAGAATTATACTAAGTATAATCTAGATATCTTCTAGAGTATTATAAAGAGTACTATCCATAGGTTATATGAATACTGCATCACTTTATATAAGTAACGAGAACAAACAGGTTTTGGTAAACGCTGGCGCGGTGAGTCATTCTCCCATAGATGCTGAGGGACAACTGTACACAGATTATCCCAGGCCATGCTGGAGACTATATATTGGGTAAGTACAGATACTAAACTCTCTTTGTGGTGCCCTTGTTTTCCCACAGCTATGACAGACACCAACAAAATGATCATCAATTTGGCTATCTTTGGCACGACGCAGAGTGGAAAAAGTTCGGCTGGGAATATTCTTTTGGGAAGTGATGACTTCTACAGCAGTCTCTCTCCAGGCTCTGTAACCACAGAGTGCAGCCTGGGCCGCAGTTGTCACCTCCGCAGCTTCATGCGTCGAGGGGGACAAGAAATAACCCTACAGACACAGGTGTTGGACACTCCAGGGTATCCACACAGCAAGCTGAGCATGAAACATGTAACACAGGAAGTCAAGAAGGCCCTGACATATCACTTTGGGCAAGAGGGTCTCCATCTTGCTCTGCTGGTCCAGAGAGCTGATGTGCCTTTCTTTGGACAGGAAGCGTCTAGCCCAGTCCAGTTGATCCAGGTAATACAAGGATGCAATCATACTGGTACCATGTTTCCCACTTGGGGGCATGCTCTGCAGAGGCAAGGCCCAGGAACAAACTGGCTCAAAAGATACTTGAACTTCCAAGTGTGAGTCATATATCAATAGTCAGTAAAAAGTGACTTGATTTTCTTCCAGTTCTGTTTGATAATTTCCTTTAGAACCATGGTTCTCAACTTTCCTAATGCTGTGACCTTTTAATACAACTCCTCATGTTGCGGTGACTCCCAACCATAAAATGATCTCATTGCTACTTTATAACTGTAATTTTGCTACTGTTGTGGATAGTAATGTAAATATATGACAAGCTGGGTATCTGACAAGAGACACCCAAGGGGTTGCAACCCCCAAGTTGAGAACCACTGTTCTGGGTCATAGACAGAAATTTCTAGAAACTAATTTCCGGAAGTGAAGCCTTAAATCCTTAAGAACCTTGAACTTGAGTAAGTTTGTAATAAGTAATAAAAACACAGGGACAGATATTGGGGTTGAAGCTTCAGATCAAAAAAGCAAAGCAACCAAGCCACTAGAGCGTTCTTACCTCTGCCAAGGCTCAGACAAAGGGTCGATCCTGTCTTGAATGTGACTGTAGACCGTAAAGCTCTCTACCAAACCTCAGAGTGCCATGAGCTTCTGTCTCCTTTTGCCTTATATTCCTTTCTCTGCCCAGCCATACCCCTCCTGTCTCCATCTCTCTAGTGCTGAGATTAAAGGCATGTGACTCCCAAATACTGGGATCACCTTTGTGTGAGTTTTAAAATTTCTGTTTTTAGACAGATCCAATATCACATAGCCCAAGGTGACCTTGAGCCTTGAGATTAAAGGTGTGTGTCACCACTCCCTGGGCGCTAGTAGCTTAGCTCTGTACTCTGATTTTCAGGAAGGCTGCATTTACTAAAACATAATAAAATATCACTTTATTTGGACTATCTGCACCAGAATCAGATGGGTAACTTGTTAAAAATGTATATTTTCCCATTACTATTGAAACAGTATCTCAAGAGTAAGACTTGTATATCTGCACTTTCATATGTGTATATATACATATATATGTATATATAATACACACATTATATATAAATATATATTTATTTAACATATAATTTATGTAATATATAAATATTTATATATTTATTTAAATTTATATAAATATATATATAGAGAGAGAAGGTGGGTTCAATATTACCAACTGAAATACCAACATACCACACAACATCAAGGGGACAATTTGTAATACTTCATCAACAATGCATATTTATCCACTGATGATTATCACACATAGTGCAGAACACCTGCAGGGACAGGAGGCCTGAGTACAGGAAGCTTATAATCTAGAAGAGTCAAATAAGTGTCAGAAATGACAATGTGCTAACTCCACAGTAGTGTACTGGCTAAGAAGAGTGATGAAAGACTTAGCATTAAAAAAAGCGTTGCAGAAAGACTACGCATGATGTAGGGCATTACTTACATTGTACTGTTAGAATTATACTAAGTACAATCTAGATATCATCTAGAGTATTATAAAGAGTGCTGAGCATAGGTTATGTGAATACTACATCATTTTATATAACTAGCTTGAGAACAAACAGGTTTAGCTAAAAGCTGAGGCAGTGAGTCATTTCCCCATTGACACTGAGGGACGACAGTACACAGAATATCTTGGTCCAGGTCAGTGGCTATATATTGGGTAAGTAAAGACATCTTTTTTTTTTCTTTTTTATTTATTTATTTATTTATTAAAGATTTCTGTCTCTTCCCCACCGCCGCCTCCCCTTTCCCTCCCCCTCTCCCAATTAAGTCCCCCTCCCTCATCAGCCCAAAGAGCCATCAGGGTTCCCTGCCCTGTGGGAAGTCCAAGGACCACCCACCTCCATCCAAGTCTAGTAAGGTGAGCATCCAAACTGCCTAGGCTCCCACAAAGCCAATACGTGCAGTAGGATCAAAAACCCATTGCCATTGTCCTTGAGTTCTCTGTAGTCCTCATTGTCCGCTATGTTCAGCAAGACCGGTTTTATCCCAGGCTTTTTCAGACCCAGGTCAGCTGGCCTTGGTGAGTTCCCGATAGAACATCCCCATTGTCTCAGTGTGTGGGTGCACCCCTCGCGGTCCTGAGTTCCTTGCTCGTGCTCTCTCTCCTAGTGCTCCTGATTTGGACCTTGAGATTTCAGTCCGGTGCTCCAATGTGAGTCTCTGTCTCTGTCTCCTTTCATCGCCTGATGAAGGTTAATATTCAGGAGGATGCCTATATGGTTTTCTTTGGGTTCTCCTTCTTATTTAGCTTCTCTAAGAACAAGAATTATAGGATCAATGTCCTTTATTTATGGCTAGAAACCAAATATGAGTGAGAACATCCCATGTTCCTCTTTTTGAGTCTGGCTTACCTCACTCAAAATAATGTTTTCTATTTCCATCAATTTGCCTGCAAACTTCAAGAAGTCCTTGTTTTTTACTGCTGAGTAGTACTCTAATATGTATATATTCCATACTTTCTTCATCCATTCTTCAATTGAAGGGCATCTAGGTTTAACTCTCCTTGTGGTACCTTGTTTACCACAGCTCTGACAGATGTTCAGATGAAGGACTTTCTCCCTTTAGTAGGAAATGACAAAACACTGACCCAAATGGCAGATACATACTTAGGAAATACAAGAAAGAAATCTGTAATTTTCCATGTTTTCCTGCCACAGAATCCATAGAAAATTCTCCATTCCAGCCATGAACTACAAAGACTTTAGGCAGAACCTAAATGATACATGCTACATGTGTTTATATCTGTTTATTTTTTTTCCTTTCTCATTAGTTGCTACGTGGAGGCCTTCATTCATTAGACAGTCCAGCAAAAGGAGCTAGGTCAGGAGAAGGGTTTTGGAGGAACCATGGATGTATATATGAATATTACCAGGAAAAGTGTAGGAAAAAGATCTATGAATGCTGTTATTTACAATTCCTAGAAATTATTCATTGACCTGCATCTTTCTGGCCAAGCTCTTGGTTCTCTAGAGAGAGGTTCACCCTAAGGGCTGCCCTAGTCACTGTGTTCCGATGAAGGGCTTCCCCCCATTTTACTAGCAAAGACAAAGAGTGACCCAAATGACAGACACACGTTTTGTTTCTCAGTGGTTATGACTGATTGTAAAAGTTTGGGGAAAGCCAAGTGTGTAATCACAAGAGAATAGTAGTGGAAACCGTGGAGTGACCAGAGCAAAACATTCATCTTCCAACTCCTGAAGATTCAAGTCATGCTGTCATTAGTAAACAAGATGGTTGCAATTAAAATGCAATATAAAATCTAAGGCAACCACACAGCTTCCCACGCTATTAAAGCCTGTATTTCAAAGCATTTCTTTTTTGTTGTTGTTGGGGGTTTTTTTTGTTTTTTTTAATTTTTTTAATTTTTATTTATTTATTTATTAAGATTTCTGTCTCTTCCCCGCCACCGCCTCCCATTTCCCTCCCCCTCCCCCAGCCAAGTCCCCCTCCCTCATCAGCCCAAAGAGCAATCAGGGTTCCCTGCCCTGTGGGAAATCCAAGGACCACCCACCTCCATCCAGGTCTAGTAAGGTGAGCATCCAAACTGCCTAGGCTCCCATAAAGCCAGTACGTGCAGTAGGATCAAAAACCCATTGCCATTGTTCTTGAGTTCTCAGTATTTCTGGTAGGAATCAAGTAGCAGGAAACCTACACCCAAACATCAGAATAATTTTAAGAATATTATTTAATGTTCACTTATGGCTGCTTTCCATAAACTCAGTAAATTCAGAAACCATTTCTCAAAAACCATCTTGACCCCCTCCATATATCTTGCTATTCTTCACTATGGTAGAATGCTTCCCTATGCTGAGGCCAGAAGAATTTCAATTCTATACATTTTGAAAATAGATTCTTCTAGTGTTAGTATACAGAACATTATAACACACTGTTTTGCTACAAGGCAAATTAATTCATACTCTTGTATTTTGAAATGGTACCTGCATAGCTTTCTCCAACAGCTGCTTTCCTTAAGCCGTTGTCTATGTCAGGATTGAAAGACCAACAATAGATGGGTACAAGCAAAGCTCAGATCGTGTTTTGTTTTGCTTTTTCTAGAATAAATAATTTCTCTTTTTTTCTGAATATCAACAAACAAGACTTATCAATCCTCAGCGCAGCCTGTGAGTGCTAAAAGCAGTTGCAGACTTGTTTGGGGTCCCTCTTGGTCTTCTGTTGCTGGTCTCTGAGGCCAAGTTGGAAGCTTCTGACTTCCTTTCTGCAGGTGCCGCAGATACCCATGACAGCTAGCTGTATGTGCTCCCAGATCAGCAGAAGCGGCCAGATGTCTTGATATTCGACAGGACCAAGAGCAGCTGTTTAAGGGGCTGTCAAGGTTCATGGGTTCCAGGCATTCGCTGGATTTTGTTTCCTTCTTGGCTGATAAACAAGGAGAATGGGTAACTCTCCTTTCCCTCTCTGGGTAAGAAGGGAGTCCTGGCATGGAAGGACTGGCCTCATCTTTCCTGTGCCTTTCCGTTGTCTCCTGCTTTGTGTTTTAATATTTTGCTTTAATATTTCTCATAGGCTGCTAGCTGTGATGATTAAAGCATTCCTCCAAATGATCTTATTCCTTATTTATATTAGGTCCCTACTAGAGATGTCAGTGAGTTGTATCCTCCGAAATGGAAAGGAATGTGTTTTAATGGGAATCTTATTTGAATGTTAAAAAGAAAATCCACAAATAAATCAGAGAAAATAGAATAGTCTTCTCCAATAAAGAGCCAGCCTGAGGGAGACAAAGTCATTCTAGGGGATGAACTTATAAACTGACTAGAGTCTATATTCTTTTTTGTTTTATTTTATTTAAATAATATTTTTTCCATTTATTTTGCATACGAACCAGTTTCCCCTCCCTCCCCTCCTCGTGTCCTCACCCCTTTCCCTACAATCCCTTCCCTATCCACTCCTCCTCCATTTCCATTCAGAAAGGAACAGGCCTCCCATGGGCT